GGAAGTCTCAGGCGAAACGCCCGACCCGCCCTTTCGACTTTCTGCGGGGTGCGACAGGGAGGAGCTTGTAGAAGGAGAAGGAGTGGAGGAGGAGGAGGAGGAGTAGGAGGACCAGAGTAAACCCAGGGCCCACCAACGATGTTGCAATTTTCCCTTCCTCTAAGTTCCCTCCTCATACGCCCCTAGAAGGATTCGTTTGTACTCGGGGCAGTGCCCCGTTGGAAAACAATATTTTCAAGGAGTTATACTTTGCCAAAACACCATTCCTGGGATTGCAGCGCCGCGAATCAACGTTCATGTCGCGTCCTGACGATTCTGAATCGTGCCAGAACACCATCCCTGGGACTTAAACACCGCGAGTGAACGCGATTGTTTCCGGATAACTCATGGAGAGCTACGGGGGGTTCAGATTTGGAGCTCGTTCTGGCGCGGGGTACGGATCCCCGCAGCAATTTGCCGGAACGTGCAGCGTGTTTTGGAAGCGTTTCCCGACTCGTTCCCAATGCGCGTGTCGCAAGCCTTTGCGCAGCTCTATCGCAGCGCTCGCTCTCTAGGCTCTTGCGAAGCTCCTACTCTCAAACTTGCATATTTCCTGGGCATCCTGTCAAGCTTCCTTGCGGGCGTTTCTCCTCGAGGATTTCAGGCATTCTGGACTGCCCGTTCTGCCTGCTCCGCTATTTGAGTTTTGGGCGCCACAAGTTGCGCCTTGACAGTTCTGCATCGTGGCAAAAATTATGTTCGGATGTCAACCACCAGAATCCTTGACACGGTTATGAACTCTTAAGATGCGCACGGCGCTCAAGAGAGAATCACATTTTGAAAACGGCCCGCGTTCCATCCGTGAAGCTGTTGTAAACTTTCACAAAGACTGCGCGGCGCTAAGGCGAGAGCCACACTTGAAAAACTTACCGCCCTCCATCCATGAAGCTTTTGCGAACTTTTGAGACGAATGTAATGACGCGGCGCTAAGGCGAGAGCCACATTTTGAAAACGGCCCGTCCTCCAACCGTGAAGCCGTTGCAAATTTCAAGTTAAAGGGTCCTACATGGTGAGGAAGTCTCAGGCACACTTAGGGCCGTCTTGGGGGCCTCTCTGGGCCATCTTGGGGCCGTCGCGGGGCGAATCAGGGCCGTCTTGGAGGCCATCTTGGGCGTCTTGAATGCCTTTTAGGCCGTCTTGTGGCCCTCTTGGGGCCGTCTTGGGGGCCATCATGGGTCCATCTTGGCGCCGTCTGGGAAGCCTCTTGGCGCTCTGGGGGCGATCTTGGGGGCGATCTTGGAGGCCTCTTCGGCCGTCTTTGCCGTCGGACGGCCGAAAATAAGTAACGCCCAAACCCTACAACAACCTAAACACAATCAGTGATTTTGGCCTCTTCGGGCCCTCCTGGAGGACCTGTGTTGGGAGCCTCTTGGGCTGTATTGGGCCATCTTGAGGCCATCTTGGGCCGTCTTGAGGCCATCTTGAGCCGTCTTGGGTGCATCTTGGGCCGTCTTGGGTGCACCTTGGGACCATCTTAGACTCAGCTGGGGCCATAACATGGCCGTCTTGGATGCGTCCTGGGACCGTCTTGGAGGCCAGCTTGGGCCATCTTGGCCGTCTTGGATGCGCTTTGGACAACGAGAGACCTTCGTATGCGGCTTTCGGGTGCGGCCCTCAAGCGCGCCAGTCGTCCTCCTCAGACCGATCCCAACTCTTTCTTACTGCGACCCTGCACGAAGGCTCTCCCAGCATACCCCCCCCCTTGGTGGAACGGGCGCTGCGAAGCCCGGAGAAAACGGCACCCACCCCCTCCTCAGAGGGGCAGGTCGGCCGGCAGAGTCAAGGCTGCCCCTGTGCGTGTGGGGATGGCCCCCCTTCTCCGGGAATGCGGGGACGTCCACCAGGGGAGGTGTGTGGGGAAGGGGTGCGCGTGGGTATCGTGGCCGGGGCCATGCAACCTCCCAGACTTCATGGCCCCTCTTCTTCTTTCAGCACGCTCCCTGCCCCCCCCCCTTTCGTCGTGCACGGCACGTGCCTCGGGCCGTGCTGCGCCTCCCCCCTCTCCCTTCCTGGCCCCCTTCTCCGGCGCGCCCAGGAAGAGAAGAGGTACGTCAAGCCGGAGCCGTCGGACAATGTCTACATGGTCGGCCTGCCCCAGGACAGCACCGAGGCGGCGGCCCCCCCGCGCGGCCTCCTCCCTGCCATCCCGCGCCCACCCTCTGCCCGCCCGCGCCTCGCGGGCCGACGCCTGCTGCCGTGGTCGTCTGAGGATCTCGCTCGAGGATCGAAGCGCGAGGGCCTTCGCCGCCCTGGGGGTTCTCGTTGGGCCTCTGGGGACCTCCAGGGGCCCCTGGGGGCCTTTGTCGGGGGTGGACAGAAACCCCAACAGTGACACGTCGATTAGTGAATTGTCCGTTTTCGGTTTTCGAGAGGGCGCCGTGGCCGTTATTTTCCAGGCTTGCGCCCGCCAGGTTTGGGCCTGAGGTCGTTTTCACTAAACCACGTTTTGCTAAAGGGGGGTCTGTCCATCCCCGACTTTGGGGACATGCCATCAGCATGCCGCATTGCTCTGCGTGTCCGCAGTTGTTCGCAGATCGCCCCACTCTGCTTCGGCGCGTCCCGCCTTTAGCCCGATCGGTGCCCGACCGCTTCCGCACCTTTGCGCCCGCTGGCTCAAAAGTTCGCAGTTGTTAGGCCGCAGATACGGACAATTCAGTGAAGGCGTGAACTCATCATGGGTTGCAGTTCCTTGTTTCTTTGTTGGGGCGGGGGGGGCTCTGTTACAACCAGGGGGGGCTCATAAGACATCCATGTAGGTCGCTGCAAGAGTAACTTATTTGAATTATTCGCAGGCAAGGAATACAAATGTCTACATGTATGTATGACTGCATGTATGTTTGTATGCATGTATGCATGTATGCATGTATGCATGTATGCATGTATGTATGTATGTATGTATGTACGTATGGATACAAGCACAATCATACACGCATGCATGTATGTATTTGTGCTATATGTATGTACGCATGTCTGAACGTATGTATGTATGCATGCATGCATGCCTTTATGCATGCACGCATGCATGCATGCACTCGCGCGTGCATGTATGTTCGTCTGTATGTACGTATGTGCGTGCATGTAGATATGTATATCTGCGTGCTTCTATGTATGCATGTATGCATGTACGCATACCATGATGTATGCATACATGCCTGTACATATACATGTATGCATGTATCATGTACGCATATACGTATGTATGATGCATGTAGTACGTGTATACATTTTTGTATATAGCTGTATATATATACATATATGTATGCATGCAGCTATGTGCATGTATGCTTGCATGCATGCATGCATGTATTTGTGTATGTAAGTATGTCTGTATGTATGTCTACATATATGTATGCATGTATCTATTTGTACGTACGTCTGTCTGCCTGCCTGTCTGTGTGTCTGGCAGTCTGTGTGAATGTAGGTAGGTATGTACGTATGTCTGAATGCATGCTGGTACGTATGTTTGTATGAATGCTTGCATGCATGCATGCATGCATGTATGCATGTACGTATGTATGTCTGTATGTATGGATGTCTGTCTGCATGTATGCATGACTGTATGTATGCATGCAGGTAGGTATGCATGCGTACACTTACGCTTGTATGTATGTTCGTATGCCTATATGTCTGGATGCATGCATGCATGCATGCATGTGTGTCTGTACGTAGGCATGCATGCATGCGTGCATGCATGCATGCTTGCATGCACGCAAGTATGCATGTATGTATGTATTCATGCATGCATGCATGCACGCACGCACGAATGTATGTATGTATGTATGTATGTATGTCTGTATGCATGCATGTATGTATGTATGTATGCATGCATGCATGCATGCATGCATGCATGTATGCATGCATGCATGTATGCATGTATGCATGTATGCATGTATGCATGCATGCATGCATATATATATATATGTATGTATGTATGTATGTATGTCTGTCTGTCTGTCTGTCTGTCTGTCTGTCTGTCTGTCTGTCTGTCTGGCTGTCTGTCTGTCTGTCTGTCTGTATGTATGTATGTATGTATGTATGCATGCATGTATGTATGTATGTATGCTTATATATATATATATATATATGTAGATAGGTCCAGGGTTGGGGGCTTTCTCCCGGCTGCCTTGGGTTGTTATGGGGGCTCCAGGCTCGCCGGGCACCCTCTCCAGCGGCCAGAGCGCCCCCAGACGGCCTCAAGTCCCATCACAGAGATACCAGAAGGCTTCGAGATGTCCCGCGGGGCTTCAGGCAGTACCAGATAACTTCAGGATGACCCAAGAAGACTTGACGAGCGCTTCCCAGAGGGCCCCAAGAGGGGCAAACCATTGATAGTCCTTACATTGTACGGTTTTCGAATATTGCACATTTTCGAGCTTGCGACGTCCCCAGAGCCCCCCAAGAGGCTCTCAAGAGGGCCCCAAGACGTCCCAAGGTGGCCTCAAGCCGGCCCTAGAGGCGCCAAAGACGGCCCAAGAGCGCCTCGAGACGGCCCCAAGAGGGGCCCAAGAGAAGGAGCCCGAAACGACAATTCGAGCCTTGCGTCCCAAGATGCCCCCAGACGGCTCAAGAGGACTCGACGAACGCTCCCCAGAGTGCCCCAAGAGGCAGAAACCGCTGATCCACCATATGTTTTGCAATGCTTTGGAGGTTTGTTAGCTTCTGGCGCTTCACGACGTCCCAAGAGGCCCCTTTAGCCATGGGGCGACCTTCTCGAGCTTGTAAAAAAAGTGGCAGTCCCGTGCCAGTGGCTGCGGCCCCGTCGAAGGGGCCCAGGGCGCGCGCGGGACTGGCCTCCGGTTCCCCCGCTGCGAAGTCCAGCACGGCGGGCGCCGCGGGCGGAGCAGAAGGGGGCCCAGCTGAAGGAGTAGCGGAGGGCCGTGGGCCTTCCGTGCAATCCAGCGAGGGTGAGGCAGGGAATGGCGGCGTGCAACTGAGCCAGGCGTCTGAAAGGAGGCCAGTTCATGGTCGAGCGGCTGAAGGCCCACGCGTGAGCCCCCCCTCGCCATGCCTCGGGGGCAGCGGGCTAGTGGAGGGCTGCGCCGCGGGCCTCTGCGTCCTGGAGGCCGACCGCGACTTCGAGCCTATCCGCCAGCTCCTGGATTTGCAGGAGACGTGGCTCGAGGAGTGCCAGAGGTACGTGGTGCAGGTGCTTCGCGGAACGGCCTACGCGGCCTACTTCGAGGGGCTCGCGGGCGAGGTCGCGGAGCGCGAGCGCTGGCGGAGAGCGGCCGAGGAGCGCCTGTCCGCGTGGCGTCTGGGCGCCCAGCGGCGCGAGGCCAGCGGGGCCAGCCTGCAGAGGCTGGAAGGCGCGGCCTACAGCAGGGAGCTCGGGCGCCCGCAGAAACACGAGCGGATCGCGCGGACGTGCATTGGCGGCCTGGACCGCGGCAGCTGGTCAGACGACGAGGAGCCGCATGGCTTGGCTCTCCTGGCGGCGCTGGACAGGGGCAGGTCGAGATCCCCCAGGCGCGGAGCAGCGAGTGCGGCGGCCGCGGGCCTGCAGGAGGCAGAGGAGCAGGACGAGGCGCTGCCGTCGGACGCCAATGAGGTGCGCGAGGGCAGGCCGTCCGCCTTCGGCTCGAATTCCAGGGGGGAGTGCGATGGCGAGGGCGCCCCGCGAGGTGCGGCACTCGATGAGCCCATGGCCCCGAGGGCGTGGGGGGGCCGCGGGCTCAGCAGCAGCGCGGCCTCCTCCAGCGAGAGCCCCGCGGGCGACTGCTGGAGCTCGCCCGGCTTGTCCAACAGCAGCAGGCAGGGAGGAGGCAGGCGCCGTGCGCGGCCAGGGCTGGCAAATGTTGCGAGCAGCGCGCCGAGCAGCGCGCGAGGGCGCTTGCCGAAGAGGGCGCCGACGCCACCGAGCTGGAGATGCTGCAGGACGAGATGGCGGGGTGCAGTGCGGGTGCCGCGCCCAGTGGCGCAGCGGGGGCACCTGGCCCGCTGCCCGCGGCGGCCGCCCTGGTCGCGGTGGCCGCGCTAGCTGCAGCGGCGCGCTCTGGAGCTGAGGGCGAGGCCACGCGGCGGGCCCCCCCTCGCCCTGGCGGCCGCTCCAGGAGCCCGCCCAGCCCGAGAGCCAGGGGCCGCGCTGCCGCGGCGCAGCGGCGTGCTGCTGGGGCCCAGCGGTGCGACGAGGACCTCGAGGGCAGCTGGGCCGCGACCTGCAGGTCGCTGGGCCGCGCAGCTCCTGCCGCTGCTGCGCGGCCTTCGCCGAGCTGGACGGTCCCGGCAGGGCCAAGAGCCTGAAGGATGCGCGCCGTGGGCCCCTGCCGCCGCCATCGGTTTGCACGGCAGGGCAGCGCAAGAAGCGGCAGTGCCTGGCCAAGCTGCTGCGCGACCTTGGTCCCTGCGCGGGGCGAGGGCCTCGGGGCTGCTGCGGCGGCTGGCTGGAGGGGCGCTGGGGTCTGAGCGGGGCTGGGGGTCCCCGCCCAGTCCAGGCAGGGGCGGGGGGCCCCGTGGCCTGAGGCGTCGGCTGCGGCCGTCGCCCGCTGCGGTGCTGGCGTGGGGCGCCGGCCCAAGGCGCGGCCTGAGCGCGCGGGCGCGAGAGGCGCCCCGAGTTTTGGCGGAGCGAGCGCGCGGCGTCGAGGGCCTGCACCATTTGCGTCGCGCAAGCGGTGCACAGAAAGAGAGATCACGAAACAACGAAACAGGGAGAGATAAGCATGAGGTGAGCAGTTAAAAAATGAAAACGGGCGCTTCCGCCTCCATTCCTCGGGGCAGGAAGCACAGGGGCACCGATATGCCCGAACACCCATCTGTACATTCACACACACATGCATACATATATTTATTTACACAATATGACTTTAGCATGTATTGATTGTCTGACCCTCGCCGTACGAATGCAGGTTCCTGAGTGGGCCCCTCGCCCTCTTCTGAAGACTACCTGCTGAAACGGCGTTTTGCCGAAACGATTCTGCCGGAACGGCTCTGCTGAAGAGGGTTCATCGAAATGGCTCTGCTAAAAAGGCCCCGCCGAAACGGCGGATGCCGAAACGGACCCCTGCCGAAGCGGGTCTGCCGAAGTAGACTGCCGAAGATAATTTGCCGAAGCTTGTCTGCCAAGGTGTGCCGAAGCATATTCGTAGCCTTCTTCACCTCGTGCTCGAACCATTTGCGGGTAATGGCTTCAGTGGAATTGTGGGCTTATCAAGTGCTGGGGCTTGCTAGACCTCGAGCGCCCGAAGCTCGTGTGTTTCCACTGTGTGTATAGGTACATTTTCTGTGTATACGTTTGCAAGTAGGTGCGTTATTCGTATACTTCAGAGATCTTGTATACGGAATCTATGTGTAGTCCGCCAGGGAATTAGATAGTTGTCACGCGCTACGAAAGCAATAGGTTTGTGATGCTGCCGCACATAGATTTGCTTGTGCGGCCTAAGAGGAGGAGGAAGAGGAGGAGGAGGAGGAGGAGGAGGAGGAGGAGGAGGACGAGGAGGACGAGGAGGGAGGAGGACGAGGAGGAGGAGGAGGAAGAAGAGGAGGAGAGAGGAAGAGGAGGAGAGGAGGAGGAGGAGGTGGAGGAGGAGGAGAGGAGGAGGAGGAGGAGGAGGAGGAGGAGGAGAGAGAAGGGGAACACAACGAAGAAATTATACGAACCAATCGAAGCGCCCTACGCCCCCCCCGTCTCTTCGGCTTCCCCCAGAGTGCTGTTGTGACGACTCTCTCTTTGCAGCCGCTTTTTGGGCTCGAGGCGCGCTCTCCCCCCCGTCTCGAAGCTCGGCGGCGCGCCCAGGGGGAGTGCAGAGGGGGCGAGCCTTCTAAGAAGGCTTGGGGCGACGGCGTCGCAGAAGGCCGGAGGGCCTCGCGGAAGCCCCGCCGCCTTCTGAGAAGGCACACTTTCCCCTTCTCTTTTCCCCCCGGGGCGCGCCGCCGAAAAGCGCCCTGGGCCGCGCACGCCGCCCCGCACCCGCCGGGCGGCGGCGCCTTGTGGCGGGGCCCCGCGCCGATGTCCCTCTTGGCCAAGGCGGGGAAGGCATCCATGGCGACCCCCCGGCGCCTGTCCCTCGATGACAAGGACCGAGGGCGGGGTTTCAGAGCGACGCCCGACAGGGGGGGAACCATCGACCCCAAACCGTCCACTTGTCGCCAGTCGTGGCCTGGGTGCCCCGCCCCGCGCGGGAGCGTGGCGGGTTTCGCGATCGGGAGCCTGTCGCGGATCTAACGGCGACGTATCGCCGATCCCAGGTAACGTTTCCCCCCTGAGCCAGTCCCCCCCCCCATCGTCAGGGGCGGCAGAGAGGGGGGTGATGACTAGGGGGGGCTGGGTATCATGGGGGGGCCATGATATCTCCCCAGATGTCATCGCGATTTTTGTTATTTCAATATGTCCCCGGCCCCCCCTGGGCCGCGCACGTGCCCCTGACCATGATTTGCTCCCCCCCTTCTTGGACGCGCCCGTCTTGGACGCCCCCGATATCGATCCCCCTCAGGGAGATCTCCAGCTCGAAGAGCCCAACGCGGCGTTGAGTGTGCTCGATTTTCTCATCTTCGTCCACGTCCATCCATCCTCCGTCCCTTGACCTCCATCATCCGTCCTCCATCCTCCATCGTCCATCCTTCGTCCGACATTCTCGTCCTCATACCTCGGCGACAGGGACCGAGGAGGAACAAGAGGAGGAAGAGGAGGAGGAGGAGGGGGAGGAGGAGGCGGAGGAGGTTACCAGCGCTGTGCTTGCATGGTTTCGGCATCTTCGTCCTCGTCCTCCATCTTCCCTCCCTCATCCTCCGTCCTCCGTCCTCCACCCTCCGTCGTCCACCCTCCGTCCTGAGTCCTCCGTTCCATCTCCTCGTCCTCATCCCTCGACGACAAGGAACAGCGGGGATCTCAGCAGCGCTGAGCGTGCACGTTTTTCTCCTTGCCGTCATCCTCGTCCTCCACCCTTACCCGAGTCCAGAGTCACTTGCGTAAAATCATCACTTGGTGTATATTCCCACTCTGTATGTTCCCTGCACAGGATCTGGTCAAGGCGGGGGCTGCGTCCATCACGCCCCCCCGGCGCATTTCCCTCGACGACAAGGAGCGGGACCATCTGTTCAGTACATACATTCGTATGTTCGTGATCTAAGCACTACTCTCATCTCTCATAATGCTGTGTTTATCCGCAACCCTATTTCGCACATGGTGTTTTTTTTACACAGACTGTCCAGAGTTGGCTAAGCTATTTCGCACATGGTTTTCCCAATCACAACCTTCTCGGCCTTTCCAACGTGGTGTTCCTGCTGCAGCATTTGCCAATGTTGGCTACATTTTAGCGTCAGGGATCCTGCTCCTTCTGCTCCTCCTGCTCCTCCTAGTCCTGCTGGTCAAGAGCTAAAGGAGCTTCCTGAGGAGGATCAGGGATAGGGGCGAGGCTGAGGGAGGCAAGCACCCGCGTCTCGTCCCCTTCCTCCCCTTGTTCTTCGGCGAGCCCATCGGTCCAAGCTTGGAACTGACACAGGGTATCTTGTGGCTGCGTTGCGCCCTCAGCATTCCGATCCTCGGGCCTAAAGGAGATCCGTGAATAAAAGAGCAACATTATCCCAGTGCGACCCTACCTAGGAATTGGAGCATTTAGGAAAGCAAGATCTACAGCTGCACCGACAGCTACAGTTACATCTACACCTGCATCTACATGCCGTCTACTCTGCGCTATGTTATGCTATGCCATGCTATGCTCTGCTATGCTTTGCTATGCTGCGCTATGCTGCGCTATGCTATGCTATGCTATGCTAGGGTACGCTCGGCTGCGCTGTGTTATGCTATTCTATGCTATGCTATGCTATGCTGCGCTATGCTATGATATGCTATGCTGCGCTATGCTATACTATGCTATGCTATGCTATGCTATGCTATGCTAGGCTGCGCTACGCTATAACATGCTAGGCTACGCTATGATATGCTATGCTGCGCTATGCTACGCTATGCTATGCTATGCTATGTTGTGCTGTGCTATACTATGCTATGCTGCGCTGTGCTATGCTAAGCAATGCTATGCTATGCTGCGTCATGCTATACTATGCTATGCTATGCTATGCTGAGCTGTGCTATGCTATGCTATGATAGGCTAGGCTATGCTATGCTATGCTATGCTGTGCTAATGCTGCGCTGCGCTATGCTGCGCTGCGCTGAACTAAGCTAAGCTAAGGCAAGCTATGCTATGCTAAGCTAAGTTAAGCTGAACTAAACTAGGCTAAGCTAAGCTCAGCTAAAGCTAAGCTAAGCCAAGCTAAACTAAGCTACGCTAAGCTAAGCTAAGCTAAGTTGGGCTAATATGATATATACTAAGCTAAGCTAAGCTATGCTAGGCAAAGCTAAGCTAAGCTAAGCAAAGCTAAGCTAAGCTAAGATGATATACGCTAAGCTAAGCTAAGCCAAGCTTAGCTTAGCTTAGCTAAGCTTAGCTAAGCTAAGCTGGGTGAACCCAGGGGACGTAACTGGGGGAACCGCGGGGCGGATCCTGGGGGAACCGCGGGGCTGATGCCGGGGGAACCGCCCGGGGCGAGGAACACTGCCCGGCCCTTTAAGCTTATAAAGTAAGAACCCTTCTAGGCAGAGCCTAGGTAGGGAAAAAGAGTGCATACATATATATATATATATATATATATGGGAGACAGATCGCTACTCTGCCTATGGCGATCATCGCACGCACTGCCCAGCACGACAATGCTCAGCTTTCCGAGCGTCACGCTACAGGGGTGTTTTTAATACATGGTCTGCGCGCGCGAGAGAGATGCTGTTGCCTAGTCGGCGAGCATTATGATTTAAACATTGTATTCCCCGCGCGCGATGGGACCTGGTCTGCCTACTCTACGACAATGTTTTTTTCTTGTTCGGAGCGCTTGCGCGAATACCAACACTTACCCGTGTCAGCGCATGTTTTTTGTATGCCCATGCATTGTGACAGGCGCGCGCGGAGGCCCAGCTTCTCGAGTCAGCGATCGTTTTTTTTCTGGAGTTGCCCCCTTGGTCTCCTCCTCCGTCTCCTTCTCCTCTTCCCTTGGGATTTCGTTGTTCATCGCATGGTCGGCATCTCTTCGGTGCGCGAGCATCTTTTAATCTAAAAGGCCACATGTATTCCGACGCGCGCGCGCGCCATGGCTCATCGGCGGCAGTGCACGACCATGTCGCCACATCGTCCGCGCATGGGCGCATTTCGACCAGTGCCCGGACATTTTTTAACGTATGTATTATGGAGCGCGTGCGAGATTCCATTTTTCCTAGTCCACGCCCTTGTGTAATACAATTCCGATGTATTGAACATCCAATGTATCAAGCACGTCCCTGATAGGGCTTCGCATACGCTCACGCTCTGGAAGTCCAAGTTCGCACTCATGCTGAGAATGCGATAATCTCGAAATTTAGGGTGGAATTGTAATCAATCTGCTGCTGCTTCTAATCATCATTCCTCCTTCTCTAGCTCTTCCTCCTGCTCATCCTTTGCGTCATCCGCCACGACCTTCTCCTCCTCCTGCTATGTGCACATCTCCCCTTTCGGATTTCGCATACACAGTGGGGCCATTTTTGAGATGCACATCTGCTAGGACACCCGTCGATGGATAGATGGGAAAGGATGGACAGATCAGTGCAGCGGGAAAGGATGGGTGGGAGGGATCGGATGTCAGGTATGGCTGGAGCGCACCTAGCTTGTCCCTTCCCCTCTCTTCTCCCCCCACGAGGCGCGCCCCATCCCCTCCCGCCTTTCAGACTCCCTTTCGATCCGATCGATCAGATTCGGTATTGGTAGTGGGCGGCCCGATCAGGTTCGAGTCGGACGATCCGATGCGGCCCGGTGCTTGCATTGCGCTGTTGTGCAACCTGGCGCAGCCGATCCGATGAGATGTCGTCACCGTGTAGATATCGCCTGATCCGCCGCACATTTCGATTCCACTCGATTTTACGATTCGATGCTGACTGATTCTGTTCTCCCCTCTTCACCTTCCCTTATCCTTCTTTCTCCCCCTCCATCTGCCTATCCTCCGGCAGGTTGTAGGCATATGATCCCCCCAAGAGGAGTCGGGCGACGGCAGAAGGAGGAGGAGGAGGGCGGAAGGCTGGAAGGAGGAGGATGAAGAGGAGGAAGAAAGAGAATGAGGAGGAGGAGGAAGAGGAGGAGGAGGAGGAGGAGGAAGAGGGACATGATGAGGAGCTGGATGTGAGAGGGATTGGAGGGCAGGATAATCAGTAGCATGAGGCGAAGACCCAGAGTGACCCCAGGATGCATCAACGATGTTGCAGTATTTCCTCCCGTCCTAACGCATCTCCTTGTAAGTCCATACGTGCATTCGTTGACAGTATAGTAAGCGCCCCTCTGAAAGACGACAAGCGAAGTCCCCGTTTTGAAGGGGAGCCGCACTCCAGTCCAGCAGCCGTTGAAATATCACAATCATAGAAACATAGCGTCGAGCGAACTGCCAAGCGAGAGCCGTGCTTTGGAACGGAGCCGATTGCCGTTCATGTAGTCGTTCGCGAATTCACGTGTGTGCTGTCACGTATTGAGAACGTCTTCAACGAGTTCTACTATCTGAGAAGAGCAGCCCCATCCGTGCAGTTCTTGCGCGGTTCAAAGCTTCAAGCGATACACTATAAATGAGTCTTCTGTGGTAGCCTAGCTTTGAACAGGTGCCGCCTATCATCCTTGTAACTGTTGGGGGCTGTTACGGCGACTGCTCGCGACGCTCACACCATAACCACGTTGAAAAGGAATCGCCAGCCGTTCCGGTATTGTACACATTTCAGAGGATGTGCAGCGCTAACACGAGCGCCACAGTTTCGAATCTAACTGCCATGCATTCCAGCAATTGTTGGGCATTTTCAGGCGAATATGCGCGGCGCAATCGCAAGAGACACATGTTCAAACGCAACCGCCCTCCACCTGTGTACAGGTTGTACTTTTTCAGGCGAATGTCCGAGGCGCCGAGGCGAGATGCACACGGTCAAACGTAACCGACCTCCACCCGTGTAACGGTTGGAGGTTTTCAAGTCGAATGGGCGCGGCGCTCAGGCGACGGCTTCGCTTTGAAAACCACTCTCAATCCGTGTAGCTCCCGTCAATTTCCAGGATCAGAGCCATCAGTGGTAGGACATTACTGGCGAAACGTGACCTTGTTGACATGCGGACAACAGGCGCGACTCGCAGCCGCGGACGCCCGTCAAGGCCTCCAGGAGCTGCGTGCGGCGCTGCCCAGGAGGAGCGTCGCCTGCCCGCGCGCCAGCAGCCGCTCCTTTCACTTAGAGCACGCCCTCCCAAGCACTCCCGCTGGCGTCGCCGCACCGGCGCCGCACCGAAGACAGACGACGCGGCCAGGCCATTGCGCGAGGGCGTGCGGCCACCACGACCGCCCAACAAAGAAGGCGGCGAGCATGGCGCCCTGCGCCGCGGCGGTGCCGCAAGCGGGAGCGCGCGTCTGGCGTGCGCGGCGTCCGGCGGCGCGGAGGCCGCGCGAGCCCGGGCCCTTCGGCGCACCCTGCGCCAGTCGCGCCGCTGGCGGCGGGCGGCTGGCGGCGACGCCGCCAGGGCAGCCTCCTGCGTGTCTGCAAGCACGCGTTGCGCGGCCTCCAACACCTCGAGCTCCTGGCGGCTCGCTCCCACCGCTGCTGGACGCGGGGCCCGCTGCGCGGCAGCTGCCCCAGCGTTGTTGCCGGCCGCCGCTGTGCCGAGGCGGTCACGCTCGCTGAGCCCGCGTTCGCGTGCCTCCTCTGGAGACAGGTGCGCGGGACCCAGCGGGCCCTCAGCTTTCCGTTGCGGACAGCCTCCGCCAGCTGCTGCCGGAGGTCAGCGTGCTCTGTGTGTGTGTGATTGTGTGATTGTGTGTCCGTGTGTGTGTGTGTGTGTGCTTCCCCCTCTTTGGGGTTTTCCTTCCCTCGCCTACTTCTGAGGAGGAGGGCTGATCCATATATGCAATCTGCATACAGATACACACATGGATCTATATGTACATATAGGCATATCCGTGTAGAGTGATATGGCCATAGGGAGATATGTATACACATACACATACTTAAACAATCAGGCGACGACACACATGCATATTCCTATTCATATGTTTAATAGGGCCAGGGACCCCGGAAAGAGCGCATCTGATTTTCGACTCTCCAGGCCCTCTTGGGCCAGCCTTAGGCCTCTTTGGGGCTCGCCTGGGGACTCATTTGGAGCCGTTTTGGGCCAGGGGTTATCTCGACGCCTCCAGAGCCGATCGTAAGCGAAAAGGCGAGAAGAACCAAAACATGATTCTTCCAATGGGTTTTCATTGATTTCATTGATTTTCAATTATCTGGGCATTCTTCGGCCAGTTGGGCCTCTTTGGGTCTCGTCTGGGGACTCATTTGGAGCCGTCCTGGGGCTATCTTGACGCCTCAAGAACCGATCGTAAGCGAAAAGGCGAGAAGGTCAAAAACATTGATTTCCCAATGGGTTATCACTGAAATTCAATTCTGTGGGCCTTCTTCGGCCAACCTTGGGTCTCTATGGTCCTCGGTTTGCGCCTCTCTGGAGCCATCCTGGGGCTATCTTGACGCCTCCCCAGCCGACCGGAAGCGAAAAGGCGAGAAGACCGAAACCATTGCCTTTCCAATGTTTTTTGTGTTGTTTTTTTGTTAATCGATGTTCGAACCTCCAGGCCCTCTAGGGCCAGTCGCTGAAGCTGAAGCTAGGTGCCCTAAAGGCGAGGAAAAAGACAGGGGGGAGGAAGTTCTCTCTTTCAAACCCGCGGAGGGACCACGAGGGGGTCGCGGGGCCCGGCAGGCCGAAAGGCTCCACATTGGCCGACGCCCACCCACCTGGGCCTCGCCTCCTCTGAAACCGAACTCGCTTGGCAGGCCCCTCGACCACGACGAAAACGAGCTGCATCCCAAGACGACCTCAACGCATGAAACCAGCGAGCGAAACACAAAAGCATGACATCTGCGAGGCCAGAAACATGCGAGGCGTGAGAGCTCGGCCAGGCCAAAACTATTCAGAGGATCGCCCTGTCAGTCGCTGTCCTCCTGCCGCGCTCCGCGGCTCTGCAGGCTGCGGCGGACTCGGCGGCGCTCCTGCCCGCTGGCCGCTCCCTCCACCCACTCCGCCATCTGGGCCTCGTCGAGGCCGAGCGCCGCGAGGAAGCCAGCGCGGCCTCCCTGGGCGGGGGCCGCAGAGGCCGCAGGCCCGTCGGCGGAGGCCTCGAGGGCCTGGGCCAGTGGCGCCTCCTGGGGTGCTGGCAAACCCGGGGTCGAGGGGCCTCGTACCACTGGTTTGCCCGGCCCTGGCGCGGCAGCTCCCGGCCTGCTCGGGGTGCCCGAGCTCGCCGCAGCGCTCGCCGCGGCGCTTGCTGGAGCTGCCGCCGCCTCGCCCTCGCCCTGGACGCCGAGCCAGGCGAGGTAGCGCTCCTGCGCGTCCTCGGGGACACACCCCTGCTGCCGCAGCGGCGGTGCCTCGGCTCCTGGCACCCTCTCGCCACGCAGGCGCGGGGCTCCTCCAGGGTGCTGGCCCCTCCCCCAGAGGCGCAGCTGGTTCTGGCCGCTCTTGTCGGGCGCCTTGCCTGGGCAGCGCTCCTTGAGCCTCGGCTGGCCCCCACTGCGGCCGCCCAGCCGCATGTAGGCCCCGTAGTACGCGCAGGCGAGCACCTCCTGCTCGTCGTCGCCGCGCCCGCAGCGGGCGTAGTTCAGCACGTGGCCCAGGAAGCCGAAGACCAGGGGTCCCAGCGCCAGGCCGCCGCTGGCCGTGACCGCGCAGCGGGCGCCGTCGGGGCGCCTCCGCTTGGCGCCCTGCTCGGCGGGCTGCTCGGCGCCAGCGGGCGGCTCCTCGAAGCGCACTCGGCGCCGCCGGTCGCCGTCGGGGAAGCCCTCGCAGTCTTTGGCGCCAATGCCCTGCCAGACGACCGAGGCCTGGGTGATCCATCGCGCCAGCTCTGCGACCACCTCGGGCTAGTCTGTGCCCTCTTTGGGCTCGTCTGGGGACTCATTTGGAGCAGTCCTGGAGCTATCCTGACGCCTCAAGAACCGATCGTAAGCGAAAAGGCGAGAAGGTCAAAAACATTGATTTCCCAAGGTGTTTTCATCGAATTCCCATTATTTGGACCTTCTTGCCTCTTTGGGGCTCGAAGCCGGCAGCCCAGCAACTCGCGTGCTGAAAATAGCACGTTCTGTAGGAGTTGGAGGAAAAGGAGGAGGAAAAGGAGGAGGTAGAGGAGAAGGACAAGGAGAAGGAGAAGGAGGAGGAGGAGGAGGAGGAGGAGGAGGAGGAGGAGGAGGAGGAGGAGGAGGAGGAGCAGGAGGAGGAGGAGGAGGAGGAGGAGGAGGAGGAGGAGGAGAAGGAGTAGGAATTAGAGGAAGAGGGGGAGAGGAGAAAGAGGATGAGGATGAGGAGGAGAAAGAGGAGGAGGAAAAGGGGGAGAAAGAGAAAGAGAAAGAGGAGGAGGATGCCCTGCTTCATGCTAGCCCAACCACTCACCTGAGACTGATTCGCGCCTCTGGGCCCCGAAACGCCCTGAGATGGCCTCAGCTGGTGTTGTCTGGTCGCTCCCGCTCAGGAACTCATCATCCACTCCGTCTTGGCGGTGGCCTGCCTCAGGGTGAGTGCCCTATCGACGCTCGGCCATCGGCGTAGCACGGGTTCACCGCTATCCCATCGAAAGAGATCCTTAGTCGGAGCGCTCTTACGTCACAGTTTGCCTGCACGCACGGCACCACCACACAGGGGCCTCCTTCATGACGATCCGCTTGCACCACTGGCGCTCGCATGTGAACGTCGGCCACGCAATTCGCCGCAGTTTGCGATTTCGCGGGCAGCGTGTCGGATCAAAACCACGCCATTGCGCATGAACGACCTGCTCCGGCGACTCCCCATCGAACGGCATCTCGATGGTACGCGCTCAGGCCGCAGAACAGCCAGAGGCCGTAGCAACTGGTGTGGCGGCTCCACTAGCCTCGGAAGGCGGCTGGAACTCTGCCTCGGGCACCTGCAGATGCGAGCTACCGAGGCCTCTGGCTGCGCCGCCTTCGGCCGCGCGCACGCCGCCGACTTCCAACACCTCTTTGCGGATGTCCTGCGCACCCATGACCACATCGACACTCAGGTCGCTGCTGCCGTCGACCCACTCCCGTGGTGAGCCCGCCGCCAGCTCGGGGACCGCGAGGGCCGTCAACGGCTCCACCTCGCGACCCGGCAGTGCCACGGCACTGTGCCACCTCCCCCGGCAAGACCGCCGCGCCGCACGTGCAGCGCAGTCCGAAGCGCTTGCGCGCTGCACTGCTTGGCCGACTCCCAGCTGCCCCGGCGGCGCTCTGGTGGCAGCATACCTCCCAACGCCCGCTCCTGGGTCGAACACGGCAGCCTCTGCCCGCAGTGCGCCCAGTGCAGCCGCGTCGATGCGCTCCTTCAGCCGCGGCCCATGCTGAATGCGGCGCAGCGTGGTGACGTCAGCCACCGACGCCCTCGGCTTTGGCGTGGATCGCCAGATTCCGCCGCAGGACGTCCAGCCATCTGGGTGCCCGCCTCTCCAGCTTTGCGAGGAATGCAGGCAGCAGCGCACGGGCTCGCTGCGCGGACTCGCTGCTCCCGACCAACGTGTCCAGCTCTTCTTTGCAACGCCAAAGCTCTCCTTCACCGAGTGCAGTTCGGCGGTGAGATGCTGAAACAACCCATCTGACCTCCTGCGCCAGACGTCTCGCTGCACTGCGATTCGCGCGCGAACGCCGCCGATCAACGCGATCGCCAGGAAGCGGGGACCAGTCCCTCGCCATCCCGAGCTCCGCAGCATCGCCCGCCTGCAGCGTCAGTCTGCAGGCACCTCGCAAGTCGGCTCGAGCCACGGGGGTTCGCCCGCTATGGGCGGCTTGAGCCAAAATGGCTCAAGCCATGCTGGCTACGGGGGACGAAGAGGCATATGAGGAGAAAGAGGAGGTGGGGGAGGAGGAGGAGCAGGAAAGGGAACATGATGACGGCGCCCGCGTTCGCGCACGGCGGGCAACGCCGCCGCCGCCGCTGCCTCCCCCCCGACCCAACCCGAGGAGCCCGAGCGGATTGGCTGCCGGGACAGCCGCGCGCGCGCCGTGGGGGCGGATGGGCTGCCCGCGGCGCCGTGGGGAAAGGTTCCTCCACCCCTACATTCCTTTTCCTTCTAGATAACTCGTCCCTGTCTCACCCCCAGGCTGGTCGAAATGGCGGACCAGGCGTTTTGCCCGAGACTTCTTACCGTTTTTGATCCTGAAGCTTAAAGATGGCAACAGTTTGACGGATGGAGGGCGGACGGTTTTTCAAAATGTGGCTCCCGCGTTAGCACAGGGCACACTCGCCTTACACAGTTGCACGAGCTTGCCGGATTGAGTGCGGGTGGTTTTCAAAATGTGGCTCTTGTCTTAGCGCCACGCACATTCGTTGCACGAGATCTCAAGAGGCTCACGGATTGAGGGCGGTTGGTTTTCAACATGTGGCTCTCGCTTTAGCACCGCGCACAATCGTTTAAACATTTGCAAGAGTTTGACGGATTGAGGACGGGTGGTTTTCAAAGTGTGGCTCTCGCTCTAGCACCGCGCACAGTCGCTTCAAAACATTGCAAGAATTTGACGCGTTGAGGGCGAATGGCTTTCAACATGTGGCTCTCGTCGTAGCGCCACGCGCATTCTTCTTCAACATGTTCAAGAGCTTCACCGATTCAGGGTTGTCAGGGCGCAACCGTTACGTTGATTCGTGGTGTTGAAGTCCCAGGGATGGTTTTCTGGCCCGATTCAGGATCGTTGAAGTTCCGAGATGATGTTTGAGCGCGCCTCAGGATCTTCAAACGGTTGTTTCCCAACGGGGCACCTTCCTCAGTGAGAATGAATATTTGTAGGGGTCTTTGAAGAGGGAGCTTGGCGGGAGGGTGTATTCCAACATCGTTGATGAATCTTGGGTTTACACTGGTCCCCTTCCTCCTCCTCCTCTTCCTCCTCCTCCTCTTTCTCTTGCTCTCTTTCCTCCTCCTCCTGCTCTCTCTCTTTCTCTCTTTCTCTTTCTATCTCTTCTCCTTTCTGCTCCTCTCCTCTCCTCTCCTCTCCTCTCCTATTATCTCTTCTCTTCTCTCCTCTCATCCCTTTTCTCCTCTTCTTTTCTTTTATCTTGTCTTATTATCCTTCTTTTATTTTCTCTTCTCTTCTCTTCTCTTCTCTTCTCTTCGCTTCTCCTCTCTTATGTTCCCTTATATTATCTTCTCTTCTGTTATGTTCTCCAATCTCTCTCTGTCTCTCTCCCTCTCTGCTCTGCTCTTCCTGCCCCCTTCCCTGCCTGCCCGTGGCTCCTCCCCCCATAGTCCGTTCGTTCCAGTTCGATCTCGATTCCGGCCTTCCTGGTTCGACTCTGTGTCGATACCCTGGCGATTCAATGCGGCCCGATGCTCGCATGGCGCGGTGATGCATCCTGGTTCGGCCGATCCGAGTCCACTGTGGCTCTGTGTCGATGCGGCCCGATCCGACGAGCATCCCGGTCCGACCTGATTTCCCGATTCGATGCCGACTGACCTTGCCCCTTCTTGCCTGCCTGCGGCCGTCCTCCCTCCAGCCATCGAGGAGTGTCGGGGTCGGACGAGGTGGGGGGGCTAGGACCTAGGAACGCGTCAGGGGGCAGCGATAAGGGGATAGGCTTCGGGGGGAATGCATCAGCCCCTGAACGCTCATGCATCGCCGACATGGGTCTGACCAGCTTCGAGTCAAGGCGGCCGATGGCGTCACGATGCCGACCCTGAGCCGGAGGAACGTCTGCTTCAGGTCGTTCCGACAGAGCCTACGCTCGCCGAGGTTGTGGCCATGACGTGGGGCGTGACCTACCGCGAGGACTGTGTTCAACCCAGAGGCTGTGCACCTGACCAGCATGTGGCGGGCCGAGCTCTCGAGGACCAGGAAGTGCTTGGCCTCGGATCGCCGCTGGCCGCCCTCCTGGGAGTAGAACGCGGCCTCCCTGTTGATCCAACCCTGGCCGCCAGGTTGCCGCAGTCTGGCCTGCTGCCGAAGTAGGCCAGCAAATTCCATCGGCCTTACCGACGAGGTGAAGCCCAGCATTTGTAAGGCCAGGGCAAGCTCTTCTTGCCTGGCACCCACTCCCTGCACGTCGACGCCGTTGCGCTCTCGCACTGAGCGCGTTGTAGGTGGCGGCAGTGAGGTTGAGCAGCGTGTCGGCTCTGGGCTCGACCTCTCCCCCAGCCCTCGGCGTCGGTGGTGCCCATCCTTCTGGCTGCGCCGTCGCCTCGCATCAGACGGCCGTGATGGTGGTTCGGCGGCGCGCCTGGGGGGACGTTCGGCCGGGCCCCGGGCTTCGCCGCGCCGGATGTCGTGGGGCTGGCGACGCCCTCGTGGACCGGTGCCGTTGGGAACGAGGCCCGCACTGGCCGAGGGCTCGCTCCGTGAGCGCTCTCGGTGGCCGCGCGCGAGGGGCAGCCTGACGTCTGCCGCCGCCCGTGGACCTCCGCGTGTAGGCGCCTCGGGATGCTGGCCACGGGTGCCCCCGCGGTGGGCTGAAAGTCGCACGCTGCGATTGCGATCGCCGGCTGCTCCCTCATCCCCCTTCTTGTCCCTGCCTCCTCCAGGCCTCCTCCCCCTCCTTTCTCCTTCTCCTCCCCCTCCTTTCTCCTCCTCCTCCTCCTCCTCCTCCTCCTCCTCCCTTCAGGGCACCTCCGCCGCGGAGAAGCTGGAGTGGCTCCAAGACCAGACAGGTTTCTCGGGGGGGGGGGAGGCCTTGGGAGGCCGACGTGGCGGGTGGTCCTTCGCCCCGCTCGTGCAGGAACCGGGAGGCAGGAGGGAGGAGGGAGGAAGAGAAGGGGGATCGGATCGGATCGGCCGTCGGAAGTGCCCGTCACGCAAGCAGCTGCCAGGGCGGTGCGGCACTGATTAGCACCAGAGCCCAAGGCGCCCGCTATGCGGGCTCATTTTCTCCTCAGGATCTGTACCCAGGGAGAAAGAAACACACATGACGAACGAGGGCATAGAGCTGTACTGCTTGATGGAACCTTCCTCCCCCCTCCTCCCCCCTCCTCCCCCGCACCTCCTTGAACCCGTCGCAGACAGCACAGTTCGCGAAGCTGCGGATGGCGGCCGCGGTCCGCCCACGGCGGCGGGCGCGGTGGGACGGATGAGGAGAGGCACAGCCAGGAGATGCGAGACAGGAAGAGCAAGCAGCCCATCTCCCAAAGCTCCTCAAACGTGGTACAGAGACGGTATGATGTGGACGAGACTATCCCACCCAACCCAACTCTGACTGCTCTGCAACACCTCCCCCCACCCCCTTCGTTACGAGTTGCGCATAGCAGCATCAGTAAACCAGCGACGCAGGTCCGACTGCACAAATACTGTGGCAGCGGCATGTGTGGGGGGATAGGCGCAAGCCGTAAGCAGCCCGTCAAAAGAGTCAGCAACCCTCCTGGCATCTCGTTCTCTGGCTCTTCGTCGGGCGAGCGCAGCAGCACGATTAGAAGCAATCCTTTGAACAATGTCAGGGGACAAAGGAGGAGTGGCGGGAGGTGTGTGTGTGTGTGTGTGTCGGGTCAGGGGCTGCCGAGCTGTTGAAATTGTTGACGCTTCGTGTATCCCAACCAGCAGCGGCTTCCCCCGGCGGTAGGTCTGCTTTCCTCTGCGCGCGCGCCGGCAATTAGGTTTGCTCGTTGCCCGAGCTGACTCGACCCGCTGCGGGCGCCTTCGCCTGTGGCCGCGACGGAAACACGTATCCCAACCAGCCCATCCAGAAACGATGCCCAGGGGAGTTGAGGTGATCAGGGAAGTGGGGGGAGCATGCAGAAGTATAAAGGGCGGGGGAAGCCGTCATATACCCCAAGAGGGGGAGGATGGGGGAGTCGTCGTCGGAGGAGGAGGATGAGGAGGAGGAGGGGGAGGAGGTGGAGTAGGGCGAGGACGAGGAGGATGAGGAGGACGAGGAGGAGGAGAAGGAGGAGAAGGAGCGAGAGTTGGGTACCTCGGGGATCCTCTTGAGACCTCGTTTGGGGTCTCTTGGGAGCCTCTTGGAGGCCTCTTGGGGTTGTCTTGGCGCCTCTTGGGGCCCTCGTGGGGCGCTGCGCCTCGTCCTCGAGCGCCCTGCCGAACGCCTCCTTCAAGGCGCCGTTGCCTGCGATGGCCGCGTCCCAGTAGTCGTCCTGGTCTGAGGCCCAGTCGCGGGCGAGGTTCTCTCTGGCCATCGACCAGGCGCGGCAGAACATGAGCAAGAGCCCGATTTAGCGGTCCCCGCTCAACTCCTTGCCGAGCAGGCGTCCCAGCACGCGCGTGACATTCCGCGGCCACGTCAGGCCCTCCTCGACCATGCGGTAGAGGTCGCGCAGCTCCTGGACGCCCTCGTCGGGGAGGCGAGCGAAGTCCGTGGGCGACAAACGGTCGACGCCCGTTCCCGCCAGCGCCTTCATCTTGGGGAGCGCGTCCCTGACCTCCTGCATTGTGAGCGGCTCCAGCAACTCAACCTCGGCGCGCTCGCGAATGAAGTCGCGCGCGCAACGGATCTCCACATTGGTCAGCACTACTGGAGCGCCAGAGGGACCGCCGCCGCTCAGCCTTCCTGTCGATGATGTCCAATGGGTGCACCCGACTCGAGCCATCGACGTGAAGCTCGTCTTGCTCGGGCTCAGGGTCCTTGATTGACTCGTGTCAGATGAAAGCCAGCGGCCGGCCGTAGCAACCAGGGTCTGGTTCAGGGGAACCCTGCTGGGTGGCGCTGCGTCCTTTTTCGGCCTCCCGAGGGGCGCCACGACGCTGTGCCACTTCCGCCACCAGCAGAGTCCCTCAAAGCCGAGCAGACACAGAAATCCAAGCCTGGAAGCTGCGCGCAGAGTTCGACGCTGCCCCGTGCTGCGCACGACGGGCCGAGCGTGTGAGGCAGCCCGCCTCGAGAGGCACGGGCACGTCCAGATGTCGGGTCGAGCAACCCGCGCAGAGCCCGTGCAGCGGAGCTGTCCCTTGGCATCGTTCGGACATGTGCATTTTTTTCCGGCGAGGTTCATCGAGGAACATCTTTGATCATCAAGCGAAACATACACGCACGAAATCAAAAAATGCACGGGGAATAGACGTCCAAGCGATGGCGAGGTCCAGGGCAGCGTCGGACCCCCTGCGAACGACCCCCCCCCCGCTCTATCCGAGGGGCGATCCGCCAGACTCTGCGCTGCACGGCCGAGGTGTGATAGTCGCAGGACACCGCTTCGCTGCCGACGATGCCGGGCCGCCTGCTCGAAGATGGTACGGTGAGGGCGTTGGTTCAGGAATGCGCCCAGGAGGCTGCAGACCCTGGAGGATTCCCTCGCTGATTAGGGCGGCGGCGATATCCATGGCCGATCCGCGATTGGAATCCCACTGGCTTCCAGACCCTGCATTCCTTATCTAAGGGTTCTTTGTCCAATGCCCCCACCGTAGGGGCTCGGGCCCACCGCGCAGCAAAACTGCGTCCTGGAGTGGCTGCTGTCTGATGTGTACTGCCTGCTTCCCTGGGGCCACCGCCACGTAAAAGCCTGCACCTCGCGGCCGACGAGGAGGAGCCGGCCCGTGGTGCGCCGATGTCGCGTGCTCGGTGATCCCGGCCCAGCGGGCGAAGCAGCTCCTGACTGTGGTGTGTGCTGGTGGCCCGCCGCGAAAGCCAGCGACTCTCTGACGGGCTGCCAGACGCGATGAAAGAAGAGTTTGAGTGCCAAGGCGCTTGGGCAGAGTGCGACGCCCGCAGGGGCGGTGGGAGGTCGGAAGAGGGGCGGACGGCATCAGCATCGGCAGCGGAGCAGGCGAGGTCATCCCGATCCCCGGCCGTGCTGAGGCCCGAGCCCCCTGGGCGCTCGATCGTCGCGGACAGACCATCCCCTGACCCAGCGCCTGCAGCGCCCTCTCTCGTAGTGGGCCTTTCATTATTCCCCACATCCTGACTGGGGTTCCTGTTTCCTAGAACACCCTCTCCTTCTCCTTCTCCTTCTCCTTCTCCCGCCTCCCTACCATATCATACCAGACGTACCACACCATACCATACCATACCTACCAGACCAGACTTACCACTACCATATTAATTCCATACCTACCATAGACAGAGCGCGCCCGTACGGAACTCAATACTAAAAGGGGGGACCCAGCTTCAAGCTACCCCCCCTTCCTTCGAAAGGGGGGGGAGCTTCCGAAGCTACCCCCCTCCTACCTCCTTTTTGGAAGCATTTTGGAGCTGGGGGGGCCCTGGCTTAAGGGGGGGGGGCTTCGAAGCTACCCCCCCTTCCTTTTCGGGGCCGGAGGTAAGCCCGGGCTCCCCTTTAAAAAGTGTGTGTGGGGGGCTTCCGAAGCTACCCCCCTCTCCCCTCCCTTTTAGAAGTAGTTTTGAGCTGGGGGGGCCCTGGCTAAAGGGGGAGGGGCTTCGAAGCTATCCCCCCCCTTCCTCCCTTTTCGGGGCCAGAGGTACGCCTGGGCTCCCCTTTCTAAAGGGGGGGTGGGCTTCGGAGACTACCCCCCCCCCTTCCTTTGCAGCCTGGGTCACGCGGGGGCTCGCTATCGGGGTCGCGCGCGCGCGCGCGGCGCGGCGCGCGTTGTAGGCGCGGGCCAGTGGGCATGCCTTCGCACATTGAGGTTCCAAGAGGTTTTTCGGCGTTTTCGGTCTCAGGGGGCCGGTTTCGCGCGCGGGGCCCGCTTGGAATCGAGTCGGAGTGACAGATCGCGTCGGATGGACATCGGGAGGGGTTCCTGGGTCGTGGTTTCGGTTTCTCGGGCCCCGGTTCGTTTTCTCGTTTTTTCGTTTTCTCGGCCCCTGGGTTTTTGCATCGTTTTCTCGGCCCCTGGTTCGTTGTCTTGTCTTCTCGTTTTCTCGGCCCCTGGATCGTGGTCTTGTTTTCCCTGATCCTGATTCGTTGTCTTGTTTTCTTGTTTCATCGTCCCCTGGGTCGTGGTCTTGTGTTCTCGGACCCTGGTTTGTTTTCTCGTTTTCTTATTTTCTCGGCCCCTGGGTCGTGGTCCAGTTTTCACGGTCTCTGGTGTGTTGGATCGTTTTCGTATTCTCTCTGCCCCTTGGTCGTGGTCTCGTTTTCTCGGACCCCGTTTCGTTTTCTCGTTTTCTTGTTTTCTCGGCTCCTGGGTCGTGGTCTCGTTTTCTCGGGCCCTGGTTCGTTTTCTCGTTTTCTCTGCCCGTGGGTGGTGGGTTGGTTTTCTCGGGCCATGGTTCGTTTTCTTGTTTTCTCGTTTTCGCCTCTTTTCTCTGCCCCTGGGTCGTGGTCTCGTTTTATCGGACCCTGGTTCGTAGTGTCGTGTTCTCTGCCCCTGGGTTGTGGTCTCGTTTTCTCTGGACCTGGTTCGTGTTCTCGTTTTCTTGTCTTCTCGGCGCCTGGGTCGTGGTCCAGTTTTCTCGGGCCCTGATGAGTTTTCTCGTTCTTTTGTTTTCTCGGCCCCTGGGTCGTGGTGTTGTTTTCTCTGACGCTGGTTTGTTCGATCGTTTTCGCATTCTCTCTGCCCCTTGGTCGTGGTCTCGTTTTCTCGGACCCCGTTTCGTTTTCTCGTTTTCTTGTTTTCTCGGCTCCTGGGTCGTGGTCTCGTTTTCTCGGGCCCTGGTTCGTTTTCTCGTTTTCTCTGCCCCTGGGTCGTGGTCTCGTTTTATCGGACCCTGGTTCGTGGTGTCGTGTTCTGTGCCCCTGGGTTGTGGTCTCGTTTTCTCTGGACCTGGTTCGTGTTCTCGTTTTCTTGTCTTCTCGGCGCCTGGGTCGTG